AATGCTATGAAATTTATGAAAGCCATTTTGTCTTCATTTTTTATTCACTCTTCAGCACCACTCATTTAACATGTTATCAACGAATTGAACGTTTCTTCACAACTTCTTCTGTCTACCTGGCAGAAGTTCTGGAAATTCGTTGATAACATGTTATCATCAAAAAAAATGAATCGATCGTTTTCAGTATCCGAGTTGAAATTGGAACGGGCAAATAATGAGCGATGTAAATGAGCATGAGGATAACGAACGTTCACCGTTGTTAAGTAGTGAAAGATCAACAATTACTCCAAATTATGAAGGTGTTCCAAATCAAGGTACAGAAACTATTATATCGGATGAGCCGGAGGAATATGTTAGCCATGAAGAAGAACATCATACTGTACCACAAATACAGCAAACAGTTTCGCCTGCTTCCGGAGAATCAAGCGAAGCATCCAGACATACCGGTCCAACCGTTGCATGCCGTGTGTGCTTAGCTACAATTGTTATCGAAGGCAAGGTCAAGAAGTTTACTTTTCTTCAAGATTTTTCATCATTTAGTGAAATTTCTTTTTTATTACTTATTAGATTGTACATTAACACTATTTTGAGATAGCATAAGGCAGTTTGATAATGCTCAGTCGAATTTTAGCTGATATTTTGTGATATATTTATATTTTTTCTTTGGGAAGCATTTTTTTCTTCAGACTAGACAACATGTAGTGAAATGTAATCACTGTAATGAAGCAACACCAATTCGTGCCGCACCACCTGGTAAAAAATATGTACGTTGCCCGTGCAACTCTCTTTTGCTCTGTAAAGCTTCTTCAAATCGTATTGCATGTCCACGTCCCAACTGCAGACGTGTTATCACATTAGGTGGTAGTGCACCGGTTGGTACGGCTGTAAGGTATGTGCTTAATTCTGTCATGTTTTTCAATTGATTGTGAACGGAAAGTAAATTTAGATGAAATTTCATTCATTTTTTTGGAAAGAAAACAGTAAAGTTACGTGTCATGGAAAAGTTCGCAAAAACTTTAATGGCTATAAATGGTATCCAATGAAATTTTGCATTTTATAGAGCTCCAGCTGGAACATGTCGAGTTCTGTGTGCTCATTGTCAAGAAATTTTCATGTTCAACACACTTAATGTTACCGTCGCGAAATGTCCACATTGTCGGAAAATGTTAGTTCACTAAATTTAATTCGAAAATTTTGTCAGTTCCAGTCGACTTTAATTTTTTGTTCTTGTTTTAGCCAGCCGTTGCATTGATAATAAGAGACGTATAATGGATATTATCGAAAAAAGAAGAGTAGCTGTAGTCTTATTACTTTGTTAGTTGATGGTTATAAGCATGAATAAAGATGAGTAAGTGAATTTTGTAGTTCATCAGTGGGTCGTGATTATGCTCGTAATAGAGCAGTCTTTTTCGTCATTTGCTCCTTGTTATTCGTAATAGCTGCACTTGGTTTAATGGTGAGTTTTTCCTTCATCCTTTGCAGTTTCTAATATCAAGCTTTTTCTTCTAGTAGTTTAGATAACAAATGTGTATGTATCAGAAAAATTCACTAACAAGCTTGATCTACAAATCATTTCAGCTCATTTTTCTTCGTTTCAAATATAGGAATTAATTAATTAATGCATTCCTCATCTGTCAATATTATTAGTTTGAAAGATGTGCAAACATTGACATATTATATAAAATATGCTTCAGGCATTTGTGAGATCGAGCAAAGTGTTAAACTTCAATCCTCTGGATCACTTTTACTTTTTTTACTAATGATGTTTTTTCTAGATAGGCACATGGCATTCAGCGAAATCTGCACCTTTCATCTATTTCACATGGTTGTTTGTCATTGCTATTGCATTGTTTTTTTCTTCCGTTTCGCATATTTTGTAAAACTGAAAACAAGCACAATTGTTTCTCCATTGTAATTAAATACGGTTAATCATATGTCTCTCTAAGGAAGATATAATTCCGATCTGGCTCTGAATGATTTTCCATGCCTTAATCATTTTTACTTGTATCCGCTTCAGCTCTTGCTGCTTCTCTGGGGACTTACTGAGTCTCCTTTTTTTCAGTTTCCAATTGTATAAAAAACATAATTCATATATACACATTTTTTTCTATCCTCTATAGATTTACTGTGAAGATTGTTTTCCTTATAATTAGTCCAAATCCTGCACAGATGCAGTGATTTTGCTAGGCTCATTCTCGAGAAGAGACTTATTATTATCATCATTATTATGATGATAATAATAATTAATAAAAATAAAAAATTAATGAATCATCATTATTGTTGGAGCAATTGAAACTTATTTCTATTTTAACATTTTATCGAAAGATTTCTTATCACTCCCTTAGATGAAATTGTGCAACATAACATATTATCATAAATGCTCCATTTCGGTTTCGATTCCAGCAAAACAATTTGCAAACTTTTTTTGCTCAGTTTTTTATACACTCCTCTCACTTATTCCATACTTCTAAGCATGATGTGATACTGAGTTCACTATTGAAGATTTAGTAATGTTTAAAAGATGAGCTTCCTTTAAATAAAGTAATTTCTCAAAAAGAAAAATCACTGTATTTATATTGCTTGTAAATTATTCATATGAGTTTTAAAAGTGAGACTTCTGTGTGATACAAATGTTTGAAATTTCAAATTTTCGGTTATTTTTGTCTCAAATATGTTTTTAGGATTTAAAAAATGTCGTAACTTGATTGGGATGATAATTTACAACACAAATTCCGGTATTGCTGCCACTTCTCTCATGCTACTGCATGCGTAAACTTTGCGAAAATACGAAATAACTTCATAAATTATTATCGTTAAATATTCGTGAACTGTTCCCTGGCAAACAATCTCAAAATTTCCCTTTCAACCATATTTTGTTGCTTTTTGTTTGTTCAACTAAATTTCCAACCATCAGGTATATTTTTCTAAATTGTTGAAATATTTTTAATTTATCGCAGGGAATTAAATGTCCATCATTGTTTCCTACCCGCAAGGGTGCTTTCTTTTGTGCAACAATTTTTAGTGCTAACGAAATTTTGTGATTTCTTTTCAGGCAATTCACTAAATTTTGATTAATTTTTCTATCGTTTTTTTTAATTTTTAGTTTGTTTAAATTTGCTACTAATAGACCATATTTGTATCGGATTTATTTCATTGCTTAAGCATTTAGGCATTTCTTTCCTTCTTTCATCTTATTTTATTTCATGTTTTGTTATCATCTTCCGCCTAGCATAAACTGTGACACAAATTGTGTGATTATTTTTGTGCAACTCAAATAAATAAATGTCAATATTAAAAGATCATTTTTTGATGACAAATTGATGTGGAATCGTGAATTTTATATTTCAAACTAGCAATTGCATAGTTTAAAAAGAAGAAAAAATTCACGTAATAAATATTTCGAAGGTTAAATTGCCATAATATGGTTGAGGAAACTTCAAGAAATGATTTTTTGTTTACTCTTTGTTTGTCATATTCAACTAACACTTCGAAGGACGTGAACTAACTTAAGGTTAATGATAACATTCTAGGAAATTATTGACAGCTTGTGGCAATCATGTTACGTTAACTTAACGAAGTGTTAAGCGAAAATAATGGTTTTGATTTGCCAGATTGGGATAACTAAAGGGAAGACATATTCAAAAATACAACTCTTTTTTTTTCAGTTTCGTTCATTTTCACTGCATTCATTTTATATGGTGAATAACCGTTTGTTGGTTTTGCAATTATATAAGCGAATTTTACGGAAATCCGATAGTTTTATATATACGGATAAGGAGTATTTCTGCGAACGGGTTTATCGAGAATTTTTTTCAACAAGAAAGCTACCGGTAAAAAGGCAGGACAACTTATGCAGGTTTTAAATTTCTTACATTTTCAGTGAAAGGAAAATACTGCTCGTTAGTTCTGTTTTCTAAAAGTGATCTTCTGTTTGCTGGGAAATGATTTAAGAACGAAAACTCAGTGCTGTGGTTTAAAAACTTTTTATTCTAATTCAAATTATATGTATGACGTGATAGGATTTTTACTTTATTGAAGGAGTCAATGAAAGAAAAAGTAATTTTTGTTTTAAATAATTTAGAATGGAAAATAAAGGACTGGTTGAGGAAGACAGTTAATTCCTAGCAAATCTAAATTTCATCACCTATTTTGACTTGATCTTTTTAAATTTAAAATGGTTATCAGATATAAATCTATGAGATGATGAAGACTAGTGTTTTCTTCTTACCATAGTTCTAACTGTTCTTGTTTTTTCATCGAATTCGTTATTTACGGGCTACGAGAGTAATTAAATAATAAATTATACATTTAATTGTTTAATGAAGTACTTGCAAATAGCTTTCCTTTACGCTAATAAATAGGAATTCTGTTATTAATATTACATTCTTTAATATTAGAATTAATGTTATAATCCCCTTTGCCCAGCAGGTTTTATTAATATGTATTTTAAAAACATTCTGCATGAAAAATCTTGTGTGATACAGCTACAGAAATCTTTGTTTATCTCAGAAAGGCGAACAATTGTTGAAATTGGATCGATTTTGTTGACATATAAATTATGGTTTGCATATTGGGAATTGAAAGCAGCGCTAATAAAGTTGGTGTTGGGATTATTCGTGATGGCAAGGTACTCATCTTTAAATATTATTACTAACTTTTAATTTGGTGCAACTTTGTTGGTTATGTTAATTTTCTCGGTATGCGTTTATACATTTATGCTTAGGTGTTGTCAAATCCTCGAGCTACTTATCATGCTCCACTTGGTCAAGGATTTCGACCACCCGAAACAGCAACACATCACAGGCAAAATATCGTTCGCATTGTAATTGATGCTTTACAACAAGCCGATATCAAAGTAGATATTAATAATAGAAAAATGTTCATTGTATTGTAATTTACGTAAGATCACATGTCATTGACATTTTTGTTTTATATTATCACTATCTTATTGAACTGTTAAAAAGCTGTAATTATTACACACAAAACCATCGAAAGCATGCGATGGTATTTAAATATTATTCATGACTTGACTGAATTACTTGTCAAAAGTTTTGTTAACAGTCAGTGAAAGCCCAACAAAACGTTTTGTGAATTGACTATATTGGATATGAAAGTAGTATGACATTTTTTTCACATTTATAAGCATGACTGATGATTGGCATTAGTCAATACACGACACTGAGACTTTTTTCAGAACCCGCAAAATGAACTTGATGGAATTGCTTACACAAAAGGACCAGGAATGGGTGCTCCATTGCAAGTTGGTGCGATTGTAGCGCGTACACTGTCGCAGTTATGGTCAATCCCTCTTTACCCAGTGAATCACTGTATTGGCCATATTGAAATGGGGCGTCTTATCACGAAAGCTGAAAATCCAGTGGTGCTATATGTTAGTGGAGGTAATACTCAGGTATGTTGACTTAGTGAATATCGATTGACATTTAACTGATTTTCTTTCACATTTTATTTTAAATTTAGTAAAGATGGCATCACTCGGCTAGTTTCCTTACAGGTCATCAGTTATTCTAATCAGCGTTATAGGATATTTGGTGAAACGTTAGATATTGCTGTTGGCAATTGTCTGGATAGGTGTGTTTGATTCCATTTTTTTTTAGCAAATTCATTTTGAAAATTTCAATTCATGTAAATGTATTTCTTGTTACGATAAATTTCAAAAAGGCATATGAAATCAGTTATGCCTCTTCAGATTTGCGCGATTGGTGAACCTTCCAAATGATCCGTTTCCGGCTTACAATTTGGAACAGCTTGCCTTGGAAGGGAATAAACTTATTGCTCTACCATATACAGTGAAAGGAATGGATTTATCGCTTTCCGGCATACTTTCCTATGTCGAACACAAAGGTTTGCAAATGATTCGAGCTGGTGAATGTACTGCAGCTGATCTTTGTTTCTCTTTGCAGGTTAGTCGAGCTTTACAAAGTAATGAGGGACGGTTATCGAAGTTTTTCGTACGGAATTTTGTTTGAACAGCAAGGAAATGATTTCCTTTTGAAATTCATTGATTAATTTTTTGAAGGAAAATTCACAGTATATAGTTTTTTTCTTCTGTTGTCAGGAAATTTGTCATTAAACCTGCATTCCTTTGTTAAAACACTTCTTGTTTTATGAACTATTTGAAATTCCTTCTCAGGAAACAATATTCGCTATGCTAGTGGAAATCACAGAAAGAGCGATGGCGCATTGTGGTAGTAACGAAGTATTAATCGTAGGTGGTGTTGGTTCCAATAAGCGTCTTCAAACGATGATGTCAATTATGGCCGAACAACGGTAAACAGTTAGTAAACATATAATACAATCATTTCATCTGAAATGATTGTATTAGACTATACGAACAGTTAAGAAGTAGTTTTGGAATCAAATATGCAGACAAAAAAGTGTTTCCAGTTTATCACTTTTTTTTTTAGGGATGCAAAACTGTTTGCGACAGATGAAAGATTCTGTATTGATAACGGTGCGATGATTGCCCAAGTCGGCTGGCATATGGCAAATGCTAAAATGATAATTGCTCTTGAAGAGTGTAACACCACGCAACGGTTTCGCACTGATCAAGTCAATGTTGTCTGGCGCGAATGATGGGATTATAGATTGATCATCAATGATCATCTCAGGAATCAATCGATTTTTTTGTTTGAGTCATTTGTCGGGGAAAAATTTTCTTGCTGCATGACTTCCATTTATTTTCTGTGTGCTTATTATATTAGTGGTAAACTTAAAATGTCCAGAATATAACCTCCGGCCTGCTGAAATTTATTTAATTCGGTTATAATCGGGTGGTAAATCCGTGAAGTGAGATTGCAGTCGAACTTTTCATTAGCAGCTCATTAATAACCTGATTTCCTCCTGCCTCTTAATTCGGCTGATTGTTTCTGACGATGTTTCTGACGATATTTGAAACGAACCATTCGAATACATCTCTATTTCCGGTAATGTGATTTGGAAATAATGCTTTATTTGCATTTGACTTATCCATTTGTTGTAGAACTAATGCAAATTTGGCTTTAAAATTCAACCTAATTATTCGCTGTTTGTATATATATATGCAGTTGAATCATAGAAACAATCTGCATTGTGTTTCTTTCCATTTGATTGCGCTAAATGGTTGATTTTGGATTGTTTCATTCTGGAAATAACTCTGTTTCGGATATCTCTGTGACTTCACTCCTTAATTGTGGGTGTTATCCATCTGTTTAGTCTGAAGTAATAGTCATTATCTGGTGATGTATGGAATAGAGTTTCGTCTATCGGTTTCGTAAATTATTAAGCACAATACAATTTTGCAAAATATATTTATCATTTTTTTTTCACGGAAATAGTAAAGTGCATAATGATGCAAAAATTTTTGACCATATAACTTGAAAATTAGTATTAGATATTTCGAAGTAAGCTTAATCGTATTTTATTTGTTCGTTAATTGGGCTTCAAAGGTTTATTTTTACTTTTATTAGATAATCTAAAAGTTATTATTGATCTGTCAGTCATCTTTATTTATACTCGAGTTTGATTATAAAATGATAGAATATGGATAAAACAAGAATAAGAAATCTCTAAATTTATTCCCGATTATTGTTTATCATTCTTTAACTTCAACAAATTGGTCGCAGTATTAGGCATACAAAACTAACTTTGTTACATCCGCAATATTTTTAGTTCGTTCATGTTTGGAAGCAGCTGAGCGGTATTATTTTTGGCTGCTTGTTCTCCTAATCCTTCCAGCCGTTATCAGTTGTTTTTCATTAGCAATACTGTTTGCCACCATTATTCATGTTCGTCGTTTGAAAAGTGTTACAGAAGCCGTCACCAGCAGGTGAATGTCTTCTTCACATTGAAATTATTCAATTTTGTTTATTATTCATTAAATTGTGACCAGATTTTGATCAATTGATCAATTAGTCAATCTTCTGTTCATTAAGAGTTCATGAAAGTTATTCACTTTCTACACTTTCTACACTTGACCTTTTCATACTTGACACTTGGTTTTTCCTCTTGTTTTTTTTTCTCGTTAATCTGATGTGATCAGGCTTGCATAACAATTTCTGGTCTCAAAAATTACAAATGAATTTTTCATTTGGCAGCTATCATTTTAAATTGTTCTCTTAAATCATCCAACTATTTTGAATTGGTGTTTAGATCATTTGTTGAAGTGTTTTCGCCAAGTTGGGTTTTATCATAGTTGTTGGAAAATATTTAACATTTCAGGAAAAAAAATTCGAAATTATGATGATTAATTAGAAATTTGATATTGCTGAATGGATATGATGAAAGATTTATCTTCAAAACATTTGAAAAAATATTTTTGCTTATAGCACCCACTGGTTGGCAAGAACGGCGAGTCGGGTTGGATTAGGTATTAGTGCGCATAACGCAATAATGGAATATGCGAGAAAGAAAAATCTGCTCAAATTAATTCCAAGCATTGAACCCAAAAATGGTGATTTGAATGTTCCTAAACTTCGTAATTCTGGTGCACAGTTATAGTGAACTTGACAATGATGGCATATTTTGCGATGTGTGAATTCATTTTTAAATTTATACTTCCATCATTTATTTATGCTTTAAAATATTCTTAATAGAAGAGGAAGGGTTGTATAAGGGATTTGTTCATTTTTTTTTTTTTTATTTAAAAGTTGTTTGTCTCTTTCTTTCCATCTTCTGTAATTGTATCTAAAAAGTTTATTTTTAATGTTCGCATTTTTATCGATGTTCTATCAATTATTTATGTTTCTTTCTATATAACAGCGTTAAATTTTATGATGAAAAGTAACGTTGCCTTCCTATCCATCATTTGTTTTCACTTTCGCAAATAACTTTCTTTTTCTTGGAAAACTCGAAAAGTTCTTCCGCTATATAATAGGTTCAATTATGTTTGTTCATTTCAATTTTTTCATAAAATTTTCATTATTAAACGATTATAATTTGTCTCTCTAACTTTTCTGAATAATTTCAAAGGTAAATCCGGTTTAATACCAGATAGTCTATTCATGTCTATGGTATAAGTTGATATAAGTTGATTATTTGTCTATCTCAGCATTTCTATATGATGCTTAATATTCCATCAATTGCTACCAAAGTATTCGATGGATAAATGTACTTTTCAGGACAGATAGATGGGTAACTTGTATACAGTTAAGTCTTGGATAAATGCAATCAGATCGTGAATTAAGCTGTAATACAGTTAGGTCATTTAATATGATAGCGTTGTTGTGCTTACTTCAACACCATCTTCAAAAGATCCATTGGTAGCGTCTTGATGAATCCTGACTAGTAATTATTTGTGTCATCTCAAGTAGTGATGTTAATCACCTGTTAATAATACCAAAATTTCAGTCACTAGAGCGGAAAAAACGAGCATAATTTAATTAACAATTGCTGATAAGTGTTGCTCAAGAAGGGTCGAAAGGCAGTAGGTCAGGACCGCGGTGGCCCTTCTCGAGAATGTTATGCGGTACTGCTGGTATTTCCCAATTATCAATTATTAACTTACCAATTACCAATCACCAATTGTCAATTTAAACCAATTATGTAGAACGATTATTACAACGGGTATAGTAATAACAAACATGATTCAACCTAATCTTTCAGATTTTAAAAAGACAAGCATATCGTGAAAAAAGAGTAAGAAGATGAGGGATATTATTTTTGTTCGTTGTAGAAGCAGTCAAGTTTTAAAGGAATGACAGAGTACCGGTATTGTTGCGTGTTCGAAACGTACAGCAGTTTATCCTTAATATTGCCGGATACCAAATACAGTAGGAATAGGTTCAAATAAATCCCAATTACAATAGAATGACCCCCAGAATAATACCAGTAGAACAGTGGGAGAAATTTGTTAGTGACTAATGTGCCGGGAAAAAAAAATGAATGTGTTAAGCTGAGTTAAGTTGACTTATGGAATCAACGATGAATGTTAGAATTTCTTATGGTTTACATAAGGAATGTGTGAAGAATTTTTTAACAATCATTACAAATTGACAGTATTCTCACAGCTGCAAAAGAAATCTACATATCAGTTTCCTTTATATGAAGAGGGAATTGTTTGACCAGATGTACAGCTTTCTCATATCTGTATCTTTGTATATAAAATAAAACCTTGACAAATTAATTTATGAATCCTTCAACATCAAACATTTTTAGACGATTTGATTAGATAACTGACTCATCACATTGGATATGGGAAAACGTTTTATATTTTATTGTGTAATGTGATGCATCGTTTATCTAGAAAATATTCTGTACAACAAATACCTTATGTTTTAACATACTACGATTTTTTTTTCGGTTTTTCCGAATTTCAAAATTAAAAATTTCTTATTTTATACTTCGTCTTTTCTCTTATGCGTTCATTTCTCTCGCTATTTTTGAAGTTGAACTTTCGGATGGAAGACTGGAAGTTTTGCATAATTTATGAAATGATTGATATCTTTCAAGTCAAAGTTCAAAACATGCCGTGTAACACTGAACAGTGTAAACCGTCCATATTAAACTTTTGTATAAGACTTTATAATGCAAAAAATGTAGGTGGTAATATCTTGTTTACTGGCTCGAAAGATGATGATTTAATAACTGTTAAGGGTTTGATTTCAAGCTTGAAATCAAACATCATCATCAATCAGAGTCTATTTTATATGTGAATTTCTTCAAAAAAGATTTGTGATATTTCCCAGCTGTAACTAAAATTGATATTTTTATCACTAAAGTGAAGGACAGCAGTTTATCTGTCTTATTTTAGATGGTATTTAACCGAAAGAAAACTGAAGGTTTAAATGAACTGAATACATTGTTGAATGGTCTCAAATGTCGCACCGTTATCTTGTTTACTGGCTCGAAAGATGATGGCAAGAGTTGGTGTCCAGATTGTGTTCGAGGTTTTTCTTTTTTACTCATTTTTTTAAAAATAGTGCTACATATTTGTATTGGTTTAACAATGCTTTCCAGTTTCTCCCCTTTTAAAAATCAGGAATTCCAAATTCGTTACTTATTTTAGCAGAACCAATAATCGAGAAAGTCATTGAAGAAATTGTATCTTCTGGTGATTTGGATACGGACTTTACATTCATCGAATGTAGTGTCGGATCACGGACATAGCAAGTTTATCTGTTCCTTTTTGCTCGAATAACAATAGTTCATACATTCCTATTCAAAAAAAAAATTTTTTTTAAATTCTGAAATCCTTCAGATTTATTCACAGTTATACGCTTACTCGAATAAAATATTTATTATTCGTCAATTAATGTAATTATTCGTTAACCAATCGTTAGTTATGCAATTTTAGCTGGAAAGATCAAACAAATGGATTCCGAACTGATGAAAGATTTAAATTAAAAGAAATTCCCACATTACTGGATTATAGCAATAAGGTTCAGGATATTTGTCACAAATTTGACCATGAAATTGATTCTCGATAAAACAATTACCTTTGATGACTATGTAAAATAAAGCCCTTTTATCACTTCTAAAACGAGAATGAAATTCTGGTAATTTCAGATATTTTATTGTATTTGTATTTATACATAACTGCATATTATTTGTATCTATTTTTAGTTTTCTCCATTTAGGCGAAAAGATTGTCTGGTGAACAGTGTGCGAATGAGCTGTTGGTGAAGGAACTATTCCTTGAGGATTAAGTAATTGATATTGCCATGAAATTTCGAGAGCGCTTAATCCTGAAGTTAAACAAGACTTATGCATATGAATTGCAAATTTTATGGCATTACGGTGAACTATATTCATGGTTTGTCTTATCATGTGGGTGTTTATCTTCTCTTTCAATATCAATAAATAGAATATGCATATATTTCCTACTTAATAATGAAAATTGGGAATAAAAACGAAAATTATGGAAATTGAATTTCTGTAAACGAGATCACTTGTAAACTTCGTTTTCCTAATTTTTACTGTCTTAAATTTTTTGTCATTCATTAAAAACTGCTTCACATCATCCACTGGTTTCAAGTCATTGAGTTCATCACCACACATTGGACAACATTCTTTCTCATCCTTAAGCCTGAAATTATTCAAATATCAACATGACCCCGTTATGATTGGGAAATAAATGGATAACTTGTGGACTTTATTCTTCGTTTTTAGTCGATGCAATTTAATCTTAAAAATAAATATTATGCCTGCCTATACTGTAAAGTAAAAACATAAACAAAGCAAGAACGAAATAATTCAGAGGACTGAAAATTTTTGTTGAGTTATGAAATCGAAATGCAACATTAGGCATATTTTGTTTTATTTTTTCCATTTTGTTATGAAATGATAAAGTCACCCGGCAAATAAAATTCTATAATTAACCTCTTTAATTCAGAATAAAAACCAGGAAAGCCACATGATGGACATGTTCCAAAGTCATTCGTAACCAAATGTAAGCCCTGCAAAACATGAGCAGTGTCTGATTTTGGCATAATAAAAAATTCAGACAAAATTTGTAATTTTTGGAGATAATTGAGGTAGGATGCTCACCGTAACAATACAGTAAGGAATCAAATTTTTGCATGATGCGCAAACAAGGATCGACTCTTCCGCTGGATTATCACAGTACGGACAGCATGTCTTGGGTTCTTCTGGATCTGGTAATTTATCTGCTTTCCTGGGATTGAAAAACTGATTTTATTCAAACAAATGGTAAGCATAGCAACTCATACTTGGATTAATATGATGTTCATACGAGACTCGGAATATTCGAAGATGAACATAGGACCATTATATTTCGGAAATGAAGAGTTACTGCATTAAAATTGTTTAATGCATCCTATGCATTAAAAATACATATGATCTTAAGCATTCAGTTTGTCTATACGCTGTTTGGTCCACTGGTCATTTCACTTATTATATCCGAATTATCAATTTATTCCTATTTGTAGTTTACTTATTATTTTTTTTCAGAATCTGAATTTATATTTCTATTTTCAAACATAACAAAGTTACCTTACAATAGCTTCAATTTTCTTACGATATTTCTCGTCAATACTTTTCCGATTGCAATCTTTTAGGAGTTCAACAGCAAATTTGAATGCCGATTGTTTAAGGCCTGCTTTAGTACATTCAATAACACTAGTTGTGAGAATAGGTACAACATCTGTAAAATATAATGCTTTACAAGCAATACTTGATTGTCACCTCTATGCTAACTCTTCCTTTCCCTTTCCTTTTTTTGAAAATGAACTACATCTAATAAGGAAAACACCTAAAAAGTTAAAATAAAGAGGTAATCAAAACAGTTAAAGGGGATTTTTAATTTACTAACAGTATAACTTATTATGAACTCAATCATGTTATTACCAATCCGCAAATAACTTTACCAAAATGACATTATATCTATCGATTATTTCTAAAAAAAAAAAAATCAATAAATTTTTTTTTGTAATACATCAACATTAGCATTCATTTTTTCCTTTTTATTTAGAAATAATAATGAAATACTAACGTGCTGGAAAATAACTGATGCTACCAGCTACTCTTATTAACATACGTGCAGCTTTCATGTGTTCACCGCGTTTCACCAAACTCTGTTAAACAAAAGAAAGTCATTTTAGAAATATGTTAAAGGAAAAAAAAATTTTAATTCATGAAAGTGTGACTAGAGAAAAAACTAAAATGTCAAAAAAGGAAAAGAAGAAAAGAGTTCAAAACATCCATCTTTTGTCTTCTGCAACTTCAACTTCTTTAAATAATATATTATGAATCCTTTTTGATAATCGTTTTCCAATTTCCCAAAAACGAATATCACAACTCATAACTTGATGAATAAACTATAAAATAGCTCAAGCATCTAAAACTGAAGTATTTGTTTCATGATACAGTAATTAGCATTGTAAAATGAAATATATAAAAGTGAACCCTGCCCAGAGTTTACCTTGATTATCAGATAACTGTGCAGTAACATAAGGTTGTTTTGCACCTCAAATGGCACCTTGATTCCTTCATTCTGCAGTTCTTGATGCATGCCAAATAATAGTTTATGTGCAATTCGATATGAACCATTTGCCCGCTCTTCGGTAGCTATCACCACCGCTGTTTTTGCCGCTTCGCGGTACATTTTCATTGAAATATAGTATTTGAAGAGGAATTTTGGGTTCTAAACAATTAAAAATATACTGCTTTTCTTTTATATTTCAAGAAATGCTTCCGGGATTCCGATATACTGATAACCAATATCAAATTTTCATTTCTCCTACAAATGAATACATACATGAAATTGATAAAACTTCGACATGATTTTTTACAGTGCAAGAATAAATCATAACACATTAATCCGTAGTTGAAATAGTAGGGCTGGTGTAAGCTACCTTTCAAAAACAATATGCCAAAAATATGATTTAATTTCCTGTATCGTCAGTAAGAGAAAATGAGACAAGAGGTGATATAATAAAAAAGTGAAAAGAAGAGACGGAAATTTAAAACATACTTTAGGAATGCCATCAATTTCACCAAGCAAGTAGTTAATCATATGAGAACTTAGGTCACGGTCTCGTGCTTCTGCTACACATGTTATTGCCGTATTCATCGCCTGCGTATCTTCACCATTTGTAAGCAAGTAATCCAATGCCTGCAATCATGTCCATACAAATTTAGATATGAATCAATCGTTTACTATAAATCACTACTATGCCTGCAATCATGTCCATACAAATTTAGATATGAATCAATCGTTTACTATAAATCACTACTTATCTCTAATAGTTGGTTAAAATTCATTTAATAGAAAGATCGATTCATGTTACAAAATTTGATTATATTATTTTGAAGGTTATATGTTAAAATAAATTCAAATAATTTAGATTTAGTCTTTCCCACATACAAACGAAAACTTTGATAGCTCTAATATTAATGAAAAGAGTTTTCATGTATTCATATTTTTTGTTAGAATTATTTCATTTAGTTACAGCATATTTTTTGGTGAACACTACCCAACCAATTACAGTAGTCTGCGCTGAAGCCAAAGAAATGGCGGATCCGAATCAAAGATATGAATTCTTCGCATTTATCAGCTGTTAGCATAGAGAGAGATCGCAAATTCTTTTTTCTCCAATTATTGTGGAGGAAAAAAGTGTATCAAAAACCTTTGAATATTGCCCAGCTTTATAGTAAAAAAATCCGGCTTTCTGTGAATTCATATTCTTTGCATAATATTCAGCCAACTGCAAAAACATATCCACCGTTCCGTCATCTTCAACAGCATCAGCGAAAATATCCATCTTTTGTTCTGTTTCTGCCAGATGAAACGCTTCCTAAAATGGAAGAAAAGAGATCAAACGAAACGATTGATACTGTGAAATCTCACTCTTAAAGATCTCAATGGCGAACTTTGTTCGGGTTCAGCTTCCATCATTCCCAAGAGAAAATAGAAACAGCGCCAGATGATATTTTACTACTGTTTAGGAATTATTTAAAGTTTCTAAGATAGTGCTTTCTTTACCTGCTGGCATTGAGAAAGTACCAAAAATTGGATAGCTGAATCTTGATCTCCAAGTTTGATGAAAAATCTAAAAAAAGGAATAAATCCCAAACTACTAGAGCAATATAGACAACATACTGTAGTAGTAGGAATATTCAGTAAAAATCATGAAAAAAAAAAGATGTGAATAGAAAAAATAAAAGGAAGGATAGGAAAAAATAATGCAGAAGGAACCCACTTTGCTACAAGTTTTGCTCCTTCAACACTTCTACTTTCCCGTACAATACACACTGCTTCTTCAGGCTTATTTAAATGCTCTAACAGAAGTCTTACTAAGTTGTCGTAATCTCGTGCATTTTTATAAGCCTAAAATTTGTTTTAGCTTTCATAATTTCAAGACCAATACAACTGAGCATCATTTTTATGCGGATCTTATCACAGTTTAGAAATTTTCAGAAAAAAATATTTATATTAAAAGGAAATATTGAAATGTTACTATTGCAGCTTGCTTGTACTTCTTCTCTCCTTCCATAACTTTGCCATATGCTGTATGAATTTTTGGTGAATGAACTTTGGATAAAAGACTGCCCACCTTAGTCCTGTAAGGAACCGTAAAGATAATGGATTTTTACAAAATTCTTTGATTTTAATCTAAAAACAATCAAAGTGAAGAGGTATTGACGAATAATATTTAAACACAAAACAAAACAGGAAAGAACTTGGAACTAAATCTTAATAAAGTTACCAATTTTTTGCTTTTAATGAAACTGCAGCAGCTCGATCATAAAAATGTCCAAGTTCATATAAATACGCTGCATCACTGTACTGCTGCAAAATCGCTATCTTCTCTACTTTTCCAGCAATATATGAAAATTAGAATTTTCTTCTCTCTGGTACTTCAATCCGTAAAACAGCCGCTATAAACAAACCTTTAGATGCTCCAAAATTATCGCACAATCACGCTTGACAGCTCGTCCTTCAGTATTGGCAGCAATATCGATTCCTCTACAAAAAGGAGTTTGATTACTTTACAAAATGAATTGATAACGCATGTATGGAAATATCTATATTCTTAAAGTAAATTAAAGCAAAATTTCTCAACTATGCAAACAAACGATAAAGACATATACAGGGATAAATATGGATAATAATTAGAAAGGTGAGAAAATCAGTTCAAGTAGTACTTACTTTCGAATATCGCCTGTACGAATAGACATTCGAGCAATGCCGGAGTTACACATCTCGTTATGTTCCACAATCTTCAACTTACATTTAAAACCAAAAGTTCTTCATGCAACAAAATGGAGCAAAAGATCAAAGTAGTAACCAGATCACTTTTTCAAGGGAACTGCACAAAGGAGGATGATCAAGTAGCAGGAAACATAACATGTACAAAAGAAACCTGCTCATTATTTTTGTCAGGATTTTCAATCAAACCGTTTTCATATTGCGTCAGTGCCTGACTGTAATTTCCCCTGGAAATTAAAAAAACTGTCTTCATGTTCAAAAACATTTGTGGTCTGGCATTCAGTCTTATAGCCCATATAATTTTATTTTGTTGTGACATTCAAAACGTTGCGCAGATGATAATGCGATATCCAAAGGGTATAAAACTTACACAAATTCCAATTGTTGTGCATATTCCTTTGAAATCATCGGTATTTCTTCCTCAGCCAAACGCGTTGCTAAACTCAACGCTTTGTCCCAATGTAACAGATCCCGACGCATCTGAAAAAAAGAAGTACACCACGAATGAAACGCAAATGTTTTTGTAGCATAACTTCAACTGTGAAACCTAAATTAAGACATTTTCAAACGTGTTCATTTCGAATTCCATAAAAAATAAACCCAAAATTTTTTAACTCAAATACACTTCGTGAAATTAAGTAAAATGAAATTAGCAAACACGCAAGAAACTGCATCTTACATCCAGAGCTTCTCTTGGCTTACTCGACTGCAAAAAAAATTCTTCCGCCACATCAAAACTCCCTAATATAAGGGCTAAATATCCATTCAGTAAACTTTTCTCCTCAATATATTGTATTTCTTCCAAACTCCAAACAACACCTACTGCATCGACTTGCTTGAAAATCCGAATTGCTGAAGAAATTTTCGCACTTTACTTTTTTGAAATTAATTTTGTAGAGAAGTTATGAAAATGTGAATACTTATGGCCTACAAGAAAGAAAATTTCCAACACTAACACAACCTAAATCTACTTCGCCATTTTTTGTGGCTGCGATTGCGAACTTATTCCAGTGTTCATTAATTTTTGTAAATTCACATATACGCCATGCATACATCCATCTAAAATTGAACAATGAAAGAATAATTTTTGATTTTTTGAAAAACTTTTTTGTATGTAATAATAATCATTTATTAAACAGTAATCGATATCAATGAATAAACTTTTTTCATTTTATAGCTGTTGATGTGAGAGATAAAGAAATGTACGAACCTTTTAAGACTAAGCGCTTGATCCAATAACTTTCCCATCTAAAATTTAACATATTTCCCATCAAATCCAACAAATGCAAATTTCTTTCTTGATTATTTGATCATTGAAACACAAACAATTAATACTTTATCATTGATAACTACTAACAGTATTCAGGGATTTTCCATCGAACACCATATCAGTTCGATGACTCTCTAACAGTACGGTACCAATACGTCCATTTTGTGTTTGACAATGCACAATTCCCTTACAGAGCATCAATGGGATATATCCGTGTGGTATTTTTGTGATCCCAATTTTTAGCAACGAAACATCTGAAAAATCACTAAATTAACCAAAAATGACAGTTCCCGTGTGTAATACAATAATTAAATCACTCACATAATACCAGTTAATTTTTTTACTTTAAAATATTTTCCTTTCTATACAAAAAAGCAAAGCCTGAATTATAAATTGTAAATAAAATAGTAGTAATAAAATTCTAGGCCGAGAATGGATGGAGATATGAGAAACGGACTAGATTTCAACTTCTGGAAAGCACATGATATAAAAAAAAATAAAGAGAATTATTGTCTCTATTTATTGAATAAACATAATGCTAGAGTTAGTGTTATGACCGATTCCGTGATTTCGTCGTCAAAAGCATTTTATGAATGTTTCTAAATCAAATAACTATGCAATTCAGGTTAAATAACCAGAGAAACTTTTTTCTCCTTTACAAGACATAACGACGGAAATTGATTTAATGCATAAACACACTATAACCAATCCATGTTTGATGACCAATGTTAATCGATGCTAAATATCAATAAAATAAACTTACTTTCTATTTGATTCTTGGACACAAGATAAATATGAACAGTATCAGAGTCACACACAACAAATGTATCTCGATCCACAGAGAAATTTTCCCATAAACAGCTCTTTACCTGTAATAATAATAATAATAATAATTCGCATCTCTCTTTTTATCTACCTTGTTTCGTTCTATTTAGTCAACCTTACTGTTTTCTGTGCATATTAGGAGAATTTTCTCTATTCTATAATTTGATTAAACTGAAAAATTCAAGATTAGAGTTGTTAGGGACATATCTAAGATACAAATTCAATCGGTTTAAAAACGAGTGTAAATAATTCAGCTAAAAATGGAATCCAAAATATACTTTCAAAGTTCGTAAGCTATTTGATAATTTCAAAGTATATAAGCTACTTGAGAATTTTGTATTAAAATTTGAAAATTTACATGAACAGTGGAATCAATTGAAGGTATTTTGATAGGTTCATCATCAACAGGATTATAAATATATGCATCCAAGCGTTCATCGAAAAAACAAAGCATAATTCCTCCTGGTTCTGGATATAATGATGTGATTCTTGCCACATGTCTGTATTCGTTCACATATGTTTCATCTGATAATAAATAGTAATAGAGATGCCCAGCCTATAAATAAATATTGAAGTCGTTCATCCAAACGATGAAATTTAAAAATCAACCATGAGTTCAACAAAATTAAAAATTCAATCTATTTCTGATGAGAAGGGAATTTCGAATGTTTATCAAATAAAAAGATGCCTTTATCTAGTAAAACAAATTAAAATTCATACATTTGTGCAATAGATGAGAAAATCATCGGTAAGTGCAATGTTCTGAAGACCATAATTAGCATGTTCCGGATCTGGAATGATAAATCCATTCCCCTCGGCAATATATTTCCCGTTTTCATCATGAAGCTGTAAGTTTAATATATTTAATGTATAATGAGGGGTAACATCTTTAAATAAGTTGAATTGTTGAAAACAAATGGAAAATGAATGAAAGTTGCAGATTAAACAAATATAAATGCTTTTAGTAGTTTACTTTTAATTTTTTCATACCTTTTGCAACTGGGCCCGATTATCCAGTTTAGCAACAACATATTTCTCATTTAAATGCATGACATTAACTGTTGACAAATATTCGATCTCATAGACGTGTCGAACTCCTGCACTGTTTCAACAAATTGAAGAAAAAATGATATAAAGATGAATGAATATGTGTTAGTTTATATTATTTTGAATTGTATTGCATAAAAATCAAACATGAAATATATACTTTCTTAACCACACTTTCCGTAGCTAATGAAATAAAATGAACACTTTATATTGAGATCGATTCACCAGCAAAGTTCCAAATACTAAACTTAGAAGTGGATAAAACTGCTACATCATGACAATCTCACTAGTCAAATAATTTATTATAAAATGTAATCCACAATTATAAAAGGTGAATAATGTAGGTCATCGAAAGCTTGCACATGTAAGAAATTTCCATTACCTACCTTTCGTTTCAGCAATGTCATACAGCCATGCATGATTATTCATTGAAATTGCAATATGTTTTGGACCCAGTGCGATTCCTGTTGGTTCCAGTTCAATTTTCACTGTTGTTAACGGATTCTGAAGATAAGATGTTCTTGAAATTCTTTTTTGAATTTTAATATTTGAGTTTGAATGAGACATTATCAATTGATTTCCAAATAATATGCCCACCTTTTCTTCTTCTCTGAACAGAGTTATCTCATTCAATGACGACAAAATAGCAATGGTATTCCGATAAGCGGCTCCGAGTATGGGCATTTTTGTTAGAAACAAATGTAATGTGCCGGACCGAGTACTGGCAGCAACCAACTGTCCATCGTAATTTGTTGAAATACTGCATAAATCTGTTAAAAAAGTTAAAAGTCTAAGATTTTGCTAATGAACCCCATTCCTTCCAGAATTCAACTAAAAGAAAAAGACTTATGAATAAGCATTTCAGGAGGATAATAAGTAAGTGTTTCAGGAGGAATTAAAAAACTTATGAATAAGTAAGTGTTTTCAGGAAGATAAGTTTACCTTCGAAAATAAATGGCTATGCAGCAAAAAAATTATATTGGAAATTTTCTGATGATTTTTTTCCAATTGTTTGATGTCTATTATTTATTCATAAGTTTTTTTTTCTCTATCGTTATTAGCGCAGTCCAACCACTACCCATATTTAAACATCCATTTCCTGAATGCAAGACAAATACTTTTTTCCAAATATTTTACTAAGCCTAGCTATTAAAGTTTTTTAATTTGTTTACGGTTATCAATGGAAGCATTATTTTGTCTTCACTGGCCAAGATATCATAAATGCTTTTTCGCTGTGTACAATTCCTGGGGTAAACATCCCTTAATCTTTAACGCTATCTAATTCTTCGACCTAATATATCATCTAATTTATGTTTGCGAAAATATTAATAGGTGAAAAGCTGGAGAAGTTAACAACAGCTGAATTTATAACGACGAACAAACCATTGTTCTTAACGTCCAATTCGACAATTTCAACAATTTCATCAAGTTGACTCATTTCACGTATTCGTATCCTAGAATATGTTGAATAAAATTTTTTGTCTCCGAATTCTAAGCTTATCATGCAAAATGTTCTGAAAAATAGCTCATCATGGCGTACTTTGGAACCATCGATAAAAAGAAATAGATGAGAATCGTCGCTATCACTTATAAAATAAAGAAATAGCCTCTTAATAATGAAATCAATTATCGAAAGATTCAAAAAAGGAAATACTTACTGACTGTCACCAGTTAGCAGGACTTTAGAAGATGCTTCACTGATGTATACAAACGACAAATATGTTTTGAAATCTTGTACTGCATATACTTCCTTAAAACAGACTATTTCAAAAACACGTGCTTTGAAAGTAATACCTAGCTTTATAAACATTTATTTACAAATATGAAATATAAGTAATGAATAAAATAATGCGCAAATCATTTTAAAATAAATGACTGAAAATAACTAATTTTGAAAAAAAAGTGAAAAGATTAAGATGACAACAGTATTGAAAAAAGTTAACAAACCTGACCAATCTCTGAGGCAATCGTTGAAATGCAAACAAGAAAGCCTTTATTGAAACCCAATAATAAAAAACTGCTCCGATACCTGAAAAATTTCTTTTTTCATGGAAGGGAGAAATACTTCAACAATGATATTATCGTCATTTCGCGAATAACATTGTCATCATTTCAGCTGTAGTTACTGATACAGCTATATCTATATTTTTTCAAATGAAATTCTTCCCCAAATTACGATGTACATGAAATCTTTTGTCAAAGTAAGTTGTGTGGAAATTTTCTCAGTAAGCTTTGCTCCACAAAAAACTCATCAATGTAACAACAATAACCAACCAGGAATATGTTACGATTTCACCATAATGAACTTGACATTGAAGATTGATAGGTTGCGAATTATCATTCAATTCTGCCAACAATATAGTATTCTGACTCAAAACGGCACTTAACTGAAATAGATACAACGGTATTATGCCTCCAAATTATTTAATACTACAGAAATTCAACAATTTCATACCAAATGGAGTGTCTAAGTCTTCGGAAGATTTATTTTTGAAAAATGAATGAAAGGAAACAAAATGGAGGACGTTTTCAGTAGATTGCTATTGTTTAATAATAAATGACTACATGAAGTAATCCAGAATCAATATTTTCCTTTAATTACTTGATGGAAATGATAAAAATTAATAGTCATTGACAGGTATCTTCCCTTGAAGAAAACTAATGAATAATGAGAAGATATCTTCTGAATAATTATTTAGAAGATATATTACAATGATTTTACTAAATTATTCCTTATAGAATATAACTAACCATCATGATAGACTTTGCATTTTTATCATTTGATTGTTTCCGATTAGAAAATTTAATCAATGATGGTTCCATGTTACATATGAACGAATATATCAAATCACCGTCAATGGTGCTAACAGTGATCGTCAAATCGGTTGAACCCAATGCAAGCAAGTCACTACTTGAAAATGCTCCACATGTTATGGCACCCTGATGTTTCCCAATTGCTGAAGTCTTACTATAAAAGATGTACTCCTTTTAGTAGATCATAAAACTATTCAATGTATTTACTTTCTTATGATTTCAAACCTATCATTTCCATTCCGGAAAAAGTGCTATCAAGATTCTTTCTTTCAGAGTAATACTTTTTTCCGTCTCTGGATGTGATATAATCATACGCACAATTTTGTATACATGTAGTCTAATCATACGCACAATTTTGTATACATGTAGTCGAAAGAAGTTCAGGATATCATTTGTCATGTTATTTTGTTAGACCAAAATCGATAGTTATTTCCTATTCAGAACTTCCCATTCACTCCAAATAATAGCAAAATAGGCAACTATAACTTGTAGTAGCATATTTTTCCGGGAAATTTCAGTCAGATCTTTTTCAACGATATTTGACAATCTTTTATGTGCTGCAGGTATAATTCATAAATTAATTCGAAAGACAACTAAAAATATTAAAGTAAGAAATAACAAAACCGCTTAATATTTGGATATATATGAAAAAAAAAAAAGAGAAAAAAGAACTAGCCGTGAGGTGCGTTGGTTGTAAAATAACAAATTTCCCGTATCATAACCAACAGCCAAAACTGGCGATATGTGAGACCATAGTATAAACGTTGGCTTTTCCCTTAAAAATTCAAAAACATATTTAAGACTGGAAACTGAAACTAATGAAATTTAAATATCACGTCAAGCAAAGTTTTGTAAATTGGAAAGCATAAGAAATTTACTATTACCAGCAAAAAAACTATACTTAAATTGTATCATATAATAATATTTACTTGCCGCTCATGCCACTATCTAACTTGTTGACTGTTTTCGACGCAAATTCCCATAATGTTATTACTGTACTCTTATCATTCATTATAGCTAACATATCACCATCTCGATCCCATGATAATGCTTCCACTCGCCTGTACAAAAATAAAAAACAAAAAGAAAAATAAAAGTGGAAAAGGAAAAAGAATTTAGTAACCATTAAAAAGAAAGAATAGACTGAATCATTTACAATTTTCTCGCATACAGACACTTTCACAGTCTTTTCCCAACACAATTACTTTTGTAAGATTTAATTATGGATCTATTACTACAAATATTCAAAGACAACATCTACAAACAACATTCGAAAGCTTTAAAAGGATGTATTTACTGAGAAAAAAAAATGAATCGAATGTTACTTAATGCAACAGACAGGAATAGTATAGGGAGTGATGGAATCAATACACAAAACCAAAATAATAATAATAAATAAACCATAAAATAAAAATGTTACCCAGGTAGGATTAATTCATCAATTAAGTTGCCATTTCGATCGTATAGTTTCACCCAATTAGTCGAGCTGAAAAAGCGAATTTATTTTGATATTTCAAATCACTGTCATTAATAATCCAAACATGCAGCAAGTGTAAAACTGATTTAGGCCTTGAATTTAAAAGCAAAAACCCAAGATAAGTACAACACAAGTATACATAAGTATGACGTAAAACAAGTTTTTTCATAGTTGTGTCATTTATTTCGCTCATTTAATATTCCAGGTTCTGAAAGATATTTCTCGTGAGCAAAGTGGCATTTAAACTAATTAACAAGTAAATAAGACAAACCCAGCAATGGCAATATAGCTCCCTTTTGGACGCCATTCAAAAATTGGCTCACCTTCGCCGAGCTCCTTTTCTGTTAAACTACATATTAACTGCAAATGCACAATGATGTGATTGCTATATTCGACCGATTGATTTCTAAATTAGTGGAATACTCCTGCTGCTTTTTCCTTCATTCCCTAATTAGTGATGATTTCCTATACATGACTAAATGACCTGATTCAATCTAATCTCTACCCCATTTCTTTGCATCATAATATGTGAATTACTTTGATCAGAGGAATACGAAAGACTTACCTTCATCTTTGAATATAACTATGTTCAACAAAAGAGAACAAATTTTGCCAGTACAAAGTAGTGACATTTTCCGTTGCTGGGCAACGCAGTAATCGGAAGTAAAATCAGGCTGTTGTGAAAGTCCGGTCGTAATACAAATATAAACCACTCCCAAATGTTTTGATGAAAAGTGAATGGAACTAACATGTAACATTCAGAACCCGATATACTGGAACTAAAGACTTACCACTTCCCACATCCTAAAGCTTTCTTTCAAAACCTTCAAAGTTTTACAAAATAGAAGTTCCACAGTTCATTTTGAAGCTCTCAATGCGCCATCTAAGAAGTACGCCAAATACATATTTCGCGTGTAACATACAACCTCACTGGGCTTAAGCCATCATTTATTGCAAATTCCACATCATCAGTCAGTACTTAATGAAACCATTATCGATAGATTCCAATTGTGGATTTAATATTTTGCAATAAAGCATCTATGTACGTATAAACAATAAGCAAATATTTATTTCTTAAAAAATTTCTTCTCAAGGAAAACCCAGGCAAACTGGCAACAGTAAAACGAAATTATCCATTTTATGAAACAAGTGCTGACGCCGTCGACGATTCGTACTTCCACGTAGCTGGCAACTGGCGTTTCGTTTTGTAATATCGAGCCAAGCGATGGATACGTGATTCGACGAGAATCAGTCTATACTTTGAATCTTTATCCTGCAAATGATGACGCTGGTCATCACTACCGACCATTCAAAAATAACGCTCAAAACATGCAACGCCTGCTTCCTTTCTCATCGGAAATGAGTTCATAGTTAAAAATGAGAATTCTACTAAGATTATGCATAGCTGTTTGAAAGCCTTGCGTACATGTTAGTATCAGCTTGTAAATAAATTGTTAATTGAATATTTCATTCTTTATTAATGAGTCGAAAAAAGTCGACTTGACGAACTTTGCGATTTCGCTCCAAATGCTTGCGAATGTTAACTGCTTTCTTAATTAGGTGGTATAGATCTTCTGGGATTTCAGGTGCCATGCCCTGAAAAACAATAGATAACCAGAAGAAATGAGCGACTACTGATATTAATTATCGAACTATCGAAGTACTGATAGATGCCGGCTGGTATGATCCAAAGGTTACAATACCCATCCGACCATCATGCAACTTAGTCGATTAAAAATGCATAAACCACAGTTCTTACTTTAGCTTTCAGGATGCGTACAATCTTGTTACCGGTAACACGTCGAACCTGTGCAACGCCATGTGAATCACGTAGTATTACGCCAATCTGCGAAGGACGTAAACCCTAAAAGATATAACAGCATCAATCGATAATACCGCAACTACCAACGGAAAGTACGACATAACTGTTTCGATGCTATATACAGATGACCTCAATTTGAAGAAAGAAAATAAACTGAACTATACACTGACATACGGTGGGTTTTGACAAGTCATACTTCTCTTACCCCAAAAGTTTCTGTCTTGAACAGATTGAAGAAAATGGGAATGGAAAGTGAAATTAGGTTTATCCAAACCATATATCTATACCACTACTTCTTTTTTATCTTTGTGACGAATTCTGAATATGTGCAAATCTTCAACGTTTCAGTGAATCAAATTAGCTCTATATTTTTGCGAAGTTCCAATATAACTTCTAAACCACGTTATTTCAGGAAAAAAAGTTAACGATGGAAGTGCTCATACACCATGGATCATACATTAGAAAACAAGTGAATGTGAGAAGTGAACATGGGTAAATTAACAAATAAGGTAACCTTTTTCGCAAGACGAGTAATTTGCTCCTGAACTTCCTCACTTGTAAGCTTGAGCCAAGTTGGTACGGATCGACGATAGGGCAAAGCTGACTGTGAAATACCCTTGCCAGGATTATGCATACGACCCATGACTGAAGCTTATTAATTGTAGCACTACTTTTTACGTTATGTAACTCCCAAAGCTTTGTACACCTGAAAAATAATGTGGAATGTTTACTAGCGTTTACTAGCATTCAATATAATCATATGCAACAATGGAAAAAGGTAATATGGCGGATGTATAGGAATCAAGAATAAACTGAATAAACGAGAATAAACTAAAATAAATTAAAGCTAAAGTCAATACGGTTCGAATCACTAGGTAGCAAGATAAAAGACTCAAAACGACAAACACTTTGACAAAGACCCAAAATAGTCTATACCGGCCCGGACAGTCATTACACAACAACTAAACCAACCATTACCTCAACCTGAAGAACGACACTCTTCGACAAACCTAATATCACTGAATGATTTTCCACATTTAACAAACAGCCACTGGGTTGCGCTACGCAAACGATAGTCTCAATTCAGTGATTACGCTCAGCAGCATCCCATTACTTTACCATTTGCTGTGCACTTATCTTAATTATGTTTGAATTTTCATCTAACTCTTCTCTCCCTTAATTTCAACCTTACACTTAGTTTATTTCACTTCAGTTTCCTACTTATCATCATGGCCAACTTCAGTTTCTAATTTAATTTTAATGATCCATAATAATGGTTGATCAAAGGAGAATGATGACTGGATTAAAATCACTACTTTATTCGTTGCAGTATTTTATCAAATGTTAGTTGGAGGTATTGAGGTAGATCCGGAACCTAATGTCAATCTGTTGCTGATTTTATGTGGTAGTGAAGAAATAACAGCGGATAATGATACTTTCCACTTATTGTGCGCAATTTGTGCAGCCAATATCGTCAGTGATCGTACAAAGGTTACATTATCATTTTGCTCACGTTTATTTCATGTGTTTCCTCCGATGTAGCCTTGCGTGCTGAGTACGTGTATAGGTGTGTGGGTGAGAGTTAAGAGGTCATATGTGAACTTTTTGCAAATGATATGGTGAAATTTTAGAGCTCAAGTCAGCCTGATCTTACTTATATAATGCGATAATTTCAGCTTTACTGGCTTCGACATCATCCACCTACGTCACTTCCGAAAGAACTAGCATTAGAACCATGGCAGCTTTCACGTATAACGTTGCGTTATTTCAATGAGAAACTCATTGGCGGTGTTACGACATTCTGTGCTTCCGCCCATACGTTCCCCTTTAGGGAAGTTGCTGTCATTGTAAGTTCTTGACAGGTTATCGACACTTTAATTTTATGCCAATTTATGCAATTTAACGCTAGTAACGCTAACCATTCCAGGTTGCATTGTTTGTTATTTGGATTTGCAAACTGAATCCATATATGAAATTTAAATTCTACAAAACTGGAATTTGAATTAAATTTGCAACTTATACGTTCCAAAGTTCTATTCATTTTATTATAACTCATCCCTGCCGAAACTTATTTACAGGTGGAGTTTTATGAGAATGACATACCACATGAAGAATCACTTTCGACAATACTAGCATTACTTTCCGATATGGGTAATTATTTCTCGATGGTTTCGAAAGGTGCATTATTCCAGCAAAATATATTTCCGGTAACTGCTTTGATTCGAACTTCTCGAATATATGATTATGGATTAGTAGCAAGTCTATATACGAATTGCATGTTACGCTTTGAAAATGGAGTTTGTAAAAATATGTTAGCCAAATAAAACGTCATTTGAAAATTTGTTTGAACAATTTTAGAGCAAAACAGTAATATTCTATCGAACTGTATCAGAGTTTAAACAGGTGATTACGTTACGCGAAGGAATGGTAATAAATCATTATTAAGCCCAGATTCTTTCCTCATTAGCGATGGATTAAGAATTGTTAAAGTTCCAACTGAGCTAGGTTTCATTCGATCGTTCGAATGCATTGTTTGAAGATAATCCATTATCTTTCCTCCGTAACACAACTCAGTTTTTTCATTATATGTTTTGCTAAAAAGAATGATTGTATTGATGATGCTGTAGCGTACAGGATCATTTCATATTCAGTTAAATTTTTTTTTTCCAGTGTACATATCGACACCACTTGAACTTTAGTCGAACTTAGAGACTATGAAATTTGCAGGGTTTTTTTACTTTCGCATTCACTTTCAAAAATTCATGGAAATTCTGATGCTTAAAAACAGTCGATATAAGTAAACAATGTATTCTATGATATTCCTTTATCATTACATGTTATTTTATGCACATTACCGAAATAAACTGAATAATTTGTTGTCTTGAAAGAGAATACTCTTTATGTTAAAGGATAATGTCAAAGATCGCAAATACTAGAATTTGATAGAAAACAGATCAGTAAAATTGAAGTATAAGCCGCATTTCTCTAAAGTATAAGCTGTATTTCCAAGTATGTGGACTAGATTTCGAGAATTTTCCCACATGATATTCGACTTACACAGAGAGATAATATATAAAAGCATCAGAATATTACTGGCATGTAAGCTGTTTTGATGGTATTGATACTTAACAATATCGTAAACATCTTGATGAGAAAAGAGAGTATTGGAAGAATTGTCAAGATGACAAAATACATTGTGTACTGATGATGTAAATCACTTCTTTATAAAAAATTGAATGAAAAAAAAAAATAACTCAACTAAATAATGACGCAAAATGCTTTCTATTATTTTATTTTTTCCAATTTCTAACAATTTTTCCAATCTGAACAATTGAACTGAATTTCGAGAGGGATTTAACTAAAACTCTGAAAACTGAATGGTGTAAATGCAATAATGATGTAGTACGGCGTATTGTATACGCTGAGGATAATTTTGAAATTATTACAGCTTTTTTCAATTCTGATTTGAATCATTTAATGAATTTTATGTAACCACTTAGCTTTATACATATAGTGATATGACATGTTTTCCAGTGACACATTTACCTTTAGCAGAGGTCATTCTACCATTATTGACCATTCGTCAACGAGATTAATCCTACTATTACTAATTCCTTCTCACACAAGCCGACCCTACTTGTCGTCATAGAGGTTAATCCTACCATTACCAATTACTTATCCACCACTCAGATACTACGCACATTTCACGTGTCACTTTTTTGTACTAATTAAAAGTACAGCATATCCATACGTATTATGCGTCGTTCTTCAGGAAAATTTGTAAAATTTTATGATAGGGAATTTTCTATAATTTATTGCCAGCAAGACATAACAATAAACTTGATGAAACTTTCCACGTGATCTCTCTGCACCATTGCAGGCAAAAGTAAATACTCAGACGTGCGGGTATAACCGAACAGAAAACAATAAATCATTGGTTCATCCTAATTTTCTTGACAGTATCTGTAAGTATTGCTATTTCTTTCGGAAATGTTAATCTTTTTTCTTTGCCCTTTCAGTGACTGTCGCAAAATTACGTGCATATGGAGAAAGCGTACCCTAAAATTTATGGCGAGAGGTTAAACATGAAAACACATTCAAATTCAATGATCTATTTTATTTTGGCACTAAAATAACTCTTTATACTCCAATAAATTTTATGTTCCAAACAAGATCACCACTTGACAGGTAGCAGTTAAGTAGATTTCAAAAAGGTATAATCAATCGATTCCTATCTGATGAGCATAAATACTATGATGACAAAATAGCTCGGTTAGAAAATAGCTACTTGGTCTTTTTAACGATTATTGTTGTTGTTGATGAGCATCGATTTATTGCTTTAAACTTGGAATTCTAGGCTAAATACTTTCATAAACAAAGCTAGGTTAAATATACTCTTAACAAAAATGAAATAGTATTAATGCCTTCTATCCCTACAATTCTAGTTGGAAATTAATTTAGGGAGTAGGAAATCTGATCCTATTAACTAAGATATATAAATAAAAGCCTACTGAATGTGTCCCAGCCATTACAAATCCATTCATACCTTTATGTAAATAATATAATCATAGCAAAAGCATTGCAGTGTAAATAATTACTGCTATAATAGTAGCATCGAAATAACATTAATAATGTGTAAATAATTCTACCAATGATATCGCCAATTTATATAATCGCAGTAATGGTACTCTATGACTAAAATATTGATGTATGGTACCTATGCAAACAATCATAATAATGTAGTATCCAGGATGTAAATATTCATAATAATAATAGTATATAGTAATACATGGTATCCATGATGTAAATATTTTAGCAATAACGGTGTGATATCATGATGTAAATAATGGTGCTCAGGATATAAATGATGGCAGTAATAATGCTGTGGTACCTACGATGCAAATAACCATAGTAGTAGTGTTGAATCGCGACGTAAATAACCAAAATAGTAATGCTGTGGAATCCACGATGTAATGGTGTGTGGTAATACGGTGTAAATAATCATCCCAATGGTACCGAGAGGTACAATGTCACAGTGTCATTTCGAGGATGGCGCTAAGAAATTGGAATAGAAAGTGGAGAAAGAAAAAAAGAAATGTACGAACAACATATATCAATTCCAGCAACTATTCATCCGGAAAGGAAACAAGACGTCGCAATGGCGACAACGACGACTGATATAATGAAGAAAACCGGTTAATGAATCATCATCACCATACGATGAGTCACCACGCAACATCATATAAAAGCGTTGATATAATTGCACTGTTTATCGACAGTAAACCCTAAATTTTCGTAACTATGCAAAAATTGGCAAATATCATAAATACGATGAGGTTATGACATCATACATATGTTTATATATACGTAGACTATACGTACACACAGACACACATACACAAATACACATACGCAGATGGATAGATGGGATGGGATGGATGGATGGATGGATGGATGGATAGATGGATGGATGGATAGATGGATGGATGGATGGATGGATGGATGGATGGTTGGTTTGGTTGGTTGGTTTGGTTGGTTGGGTGGTTTGGTTGGTTGGTTGCTGCAAACGAAGGAGCGGAGATGTCTGGAACGAAGATCGATACTAATTCAATGGGAACTCTATTTTCTTATCTTTATCGATCTATTGATCGAGAAATAGGAAAGGAGGGAGGGGGAACTAACGGATGTAGAATAGCAGCAGCACTACTGCGCTTAGTTGCTATGCCCGCACATCTATGTCACACGCATTATTCTCCGGAGCTTTTTCAATGTCACCTCTCCTGTGTTGGTACCTGAAGGTACCGTGGTAGTACCCCTCATCACACCCCTATTCATCGTTTTTACAGTTTTGTAAATAACGCTGTAGGAATAAATGAATCGTTTTTGCTATCTATTGGTACCGAAGTACCTTCTGTTCTCTCTTGGTGCTTCACTAGCAACATTTTCTACCTCAAATTCCTCTTATTATTATTATTACTATTATTATTATTATCATTATTATTATTATTGTTACTGTTATTACTATCATTATTAATATTATTATTATTATCATTATTATTACTATC